TTATGCCTCGGACTGTTACTCACATCGAGAAACGCGTCCTCTGGACTACCTTTCACGTCCGTTACATCGACGGTCTCAACAGCATTGTTCCTGATGCATTATCTCGTGCTTATCTGAGGCAACCGTCCTCGACATTCATCGACCTGGAGAGAATATCTGCCACAAAGCCAATGATCCTAAACTTATCCAACTTCAATCAAACGACTCATTAAATTTCATGCATTTACCTGTGCTTAACCCTGACACAGGAGGTTATTGTGATATTTCAACTGGTAAGCCAAGACCCTTTGCCCCACATTCATTTCGACGAGCCATTTTTCATCATTTTCAGTCTATCACATCTGAACATCCGATCTACAATAAGGCTCATTACTGACCGATTCCTCTGGCACAGTATGCATCCGAACATTCTACAGTGGGCTAAACATTATCTTACTTGCTAAACTTAAAATTCATGATCACGCTGTCTCTACTCCAGGTGCTTTTTCACTCCATGACGCACGTTTCATACGTTAGCGTGAATATAGTTGGGCCATTACCAGCTTCCAACGATTTCAGTTATTTTTTGACATATATCAACCGTCTTAACCGTTGGCCAAAAGGTGTTCCTCTACGTGATACGTCTACTGAATCTGTTGCTCTTGCCTTTGTTGAATCTTGGGTTTTTCTTTTTGGCGTTCCAGACACCATCACCATCGACAAAGAGCTGAGTCCAGTTCCACATTGTTTCGTGATTTGAGTCCTTTGTTAGGTTATGCTCACATACAAACAACCGCGTACCATCCCGTCAACAATGGCCCCGTCGATCGCATCCATCGACAAGTAAAAGCCGCCATTATGGCCAGTTCACCCGCTTCACGTTGGTCTGAACGTCTCCCTGCGATTCTCCTTGGCATTCACAATACCATCAAAATACTGAATACTGTATTTTGGAGCAAGTAGAAAATATTTCTGTACAACTCCATCGGGTGATAATCAAAAAACATTTTAAAAAAAAATAAACACGTCCGGTGGTTATCCTGAGATGGTTCAGCAACTTTTGTAGCACACAAAATGCTTGTTCACACAGTGAGTCACAAGTGGGTGATATCGTTGTCAAGTGGCAACCGTTCTCTGAAACGTATGTTAGCGAAGTGTAAATCCAACAAAGATTTGAATTTCTGCACAGATTCGGCCTCGACGACGTGTTCTGGCAGACTGTTCCAGGCGCGCACAACCCTCCGCTCGAAACAGGGGGTGTGGGATTTTCTTCAGATCAGTTACCACGAGTTTGTACCTGTGCCCACGTGTGGTGCGTGGTACTCGCAAGTGGAGTAACGACCTCAGCATGGGGAAATGACCGAGATGTAAAATACGGTAGGTCATGATAAGATCCACTCGAACACGGCGATACGACAAGGTGTAGAGCCCAAGTTTTATGCACCGGTTTTCATACGATAAGCCTCTCAAGCTGGGGATCAACTTGGTGGCGATGTGTTGTACTCGTTCGATCTTTTGCGCTTCGCCGCGAGTGATCGGACAGTATGCAGGCGAGCCGTACTCTAGCATTGGTCTGACGATGGAAGAGAAGAGACGAGTGGCGACGTCTTCAGACCAAGTGCAGAAGCTGCGCTTCAGCGCCCAGAGCATGCGCAGTCCGTTTCGATACAGTTTGTTGGTGTTGTCGACGGACTTCAAGTAGCAAAGTGAGAGTACACCTAGGTCTTTCACGGAAGGTGTGGGATGCAGTGGTTGGCCGTCTAGGGTGTACATTCGGTCGTGAACAGCCTTCCCGAGATTCATGAATAGGGACTTTGCCGGTATTGTTTGCCGATATTGTGTGCTGCCCTGAAAAACTCGTGTTCGATCCAACCCTCTTGACTCTCGCATCACCGGAGGACTAGACTCCACCTCGTACGCCCAATGTCAAACAACATCTCCGATCGATTCGACCGACTTCTACGCGTCCTAACGTGCGTAAACAACACATTAACTCCGATTTTCACAATTGTCCGTTTGTCTTCATCCGCGTTGATGCCTTCCGAAGACCATTGACTTCGCCTTATGAAGGCCGATATCAGGTCTTATCTCGGAAACCCGTGTTTCTTTTTATGGAAGAATGGATCAAAAGAATCCGTAAGCATCAATCGTCTTAAACTTGCTTACGTTGAACCATCACTTGGTAATACCGACCCTGTTTTTCTGCCCAGAACGCTCCCATTCCTGTCTCATTACTCCCTACCAAGCAACCTACTGGTGCTAGTACATCGAATCCTCTGTGCCCTCCGATCACGAGCAGCTCTGGATACATTGGTATCATGTCGAGCGTTTCTTCCCAATGCACGCTCTAGGGAAGAGTATGATAGCCGTTGTATATAATTTGCTTGTTTTATTTCTACGCTTCCACTTTTCGCTACAGTTCATATACATTTTTGTTTTCGTTAACTGTATGTGCAACGACTGGTCCAAGTCCATCTTCGTGTGCTTCTTCCTTGCTTAGCACCAGTTCTTTGTGATTGTGCGTCCTGTTGCCTCGACATAGCTTGCGATCAATCATCAGACGCTGAAGAGAATCAGCATCTCTTCATGTGTGCTGAACCTAATCTTTAGTTGATTTAGTATTTTTATTTAATGGTTCCCTACAACGGGAGTAAGAGGGACAGGTGGAATAGAAGGGAGCCGCCGGCAGTATCACTTTTTCGTTTATCCGATCTGTTTTATGCAGCAAATAAGACGACCCTTGACAATCTACGCGATGGCGGATGAAAGATAGGGTTGCAGTTTGAAGAAATAGTCATGGTTGTACGTGGGTTGAGATACTGCCAGGGCGCCCAGACCTAAGCAGGAGGACGATTGGGATTTTCAATCAAAGTCTTTGGCTCAAAAGTCTGTTTTCGAAGCAGCGGGGAGGTGGCAGTGATTTGGTTTTACCGAAATGGACGCCATCACATTTCTAATCTATAACCTGAGGACCAGGAGACTGAGTTTGTCTGACTTCTTACCATTGAGCAACCTGGTAGGAATTGCTCTCAAGGAGCCCGGCGGACCCACTTAGTATAGCTCAGGGAGTCGACCAGGTACGCAAACCGTCACACCACGTTAAGGTCCACTCTGCTTACGTGGTGGCATTGCGAAGTAGCTATCCTCACTACTTGTTCGCGTTATTTCTCGTCACTTTTCCATTCGGATATGTCAGGTGTTATCACACCGAAGCTTAATGATCGTAGCTAATACAGTCCCACTTATTAACTTATCCATTAAACTCTTCTAATAGACTGCATATTTCCATTATTTAGGCTTTTATTGTCCATCCCTGCTTAGCTTCCCCTCCAACCGTGACCTTGGTCTAGACGCCTAATAAATTTCATTTTATTTCGCTTTTTGTTTGGCCCCAGGCCATGTCTTTAAATGTGTTTCGTCACTGGCACTCTTACTCTTGGGATCCAAATCCAGAAAGACGTACGAGTCCATTGGTGGCTAAACGTGAAGTCAGCGTATTCCTGTTCTGTCCCCAGATAGAAGGCCAACCACCACGAGGTCGCCTTCCGCCCCGTCCTGAACGAGCGAATGGTACGCGAAGCTTCAAATGCTCAGGCGTCATGCTTAGAACATGATAAAGCCATCTCAACTAACGCGACAAAACCAGCTTCTTGGAGGGAATGCTCGCATTCCCCAGGACGCGGCGTCTGACGTCATCACTATGAACTCGATGACGCTACCACACGCGAGCAATCCTCTTAAAACAACCGTTGTCGAAGGCTGAAAACGGCGCATGCCCTCCACGTGATTTTACCGAGACTCGCTCTACACTGAAAGAACATAGGCACTGTAATCGGGGTCCTTTACCTAGACAGACATCTCGACGACTCAAAAAATGCATCAGATTAACCAATACATCTCGGGTTTTCTCGATGCAGAGAGGAACATCCTTGCTGGTATAGCTCGATCAGTAGCCTAAAGGGAACAAGCTTGTCTTGTGATCTGGTGGCGCGCGTTCGAGCCTACGTAGGGGCAGGGCGACTCTCGCCGTATCCTTAGCCCACGTGTGTTAGTTGGGCGGCATCGAAGCGTCGGCACTTCGTACCGGCATACTGCTGATGCTTTTATTGCTTTTGCTTTTCATTCTTTTCCATTATCAACTAATTGGTTTGTACCGCGGCAAAATAGCTGAGGTATTTTCTACCTCTACTTGATGTGTCTAGCGTTAATGTATGATGGCTATTTTACTTCCCTCTTTCTCCACAGCGGTCGACACATTCCCGTTAGTCTATGTTCACACATTGACATCCTTGGTTCAACATCTCATGAGTTCTAATCCGGACGCTTTGTCTAACAGTTGATGGGACAAAAACAAGCAAAACTCCGACAAGACGTGGTTGACGAACTAGTGCGCCAAACTCACTTTTCTGAATCCGAAGTTCAGGATTGGTACAAAGGTTTCCTGAAGGTAACTTGCTCTTTCATCATTACATATATTTTTATTCACGTTCCACAATCTGTATTTTTGTATCTTTCCGGCTCTGCTAGGCATACCATCTTCTATACGTGAATGTCGGAAGGTATTTGAGCAGTTATAATCTCTATCAATTAGATAGCAAAATTGTTAATTGTTCAATTCGGGTAAGATCTTTGTGATCTAGTGAAGTGTTGGTCACCTGAAGGAGCATCCGACTAATTACGTGGAGTATGACTAACAACCATGCGATGAGGGCATTAGGTGTAGACGGGAACACGATCACTCCCAATCGTCAATCAAATTATCATCTTTGATCCATCTACTCACATAGCAATGCATATATTTGGTAATATTACCAGGGCAATTATTCAACGATTCTCCAGGGCCATCTATGCTGACTGAACCATGTTCTTGATTGTATGATTTCTCGGCATAACCATATTCGTGAAACGACTGGTCAGTATGCTTGGGCTTCTCGGAGGTGGTCTTGTCTTCCTTATGAGTATCAAATCTACCATCTGGACGTTAGCGCATTCCAACTCACAGCGCTGCATCCAACGACCGATCTTGTGCATATTTTCGCTTTTCAATCAGCATCTGGAACCTCACTGGCATTGTAATCGACAGTTCGGTCGTGGATTTTGGCAACGCCTAGAATCCGCGGTTAAATTCAGAAGACAGCCGGGAATGTGTTACAGTGATCTCTAACCAAGGATGAAATCAACAATTTAAGTACTGACCTCATCAACGCTGAGGTCGCAAAATGTCCAGCAGTTCTCAAACTGCAACCGGCCCGCAAAGGATAACACGCCTACCAGTCAGCTGAATGGCAGCCCGGACTTACGTGGATTCTAACCGGTAACCTGCGAATTACGACGCAGGCGCACAATTCTTCCGGCCACAGGCCGACGGACGCACGGCTGTACTAGACTTGAAAAGAGTGATTTCATCGCTGGACGTAACACTACTGCTCACCACGCTCTGCTTGACGCCCATGTCTTCCTTGTTCTTCACAGCAATGCTGTTCTTGCGGTGAGTTGTTGGAGCTCTCAGTGACACAGTGACACTAGCCACCGGTAGTCCGTTTGGGCTTACATACGTCCAGTGCCTGTCGGTGTTAAACCTCGCACGCAGTTCTGGAAAGGAGTGCAGCAAAGCATATATATCCCAGTTGCTGCGGGGCCCCAATCCGCGTACATAGCTTTAATATGGTACATTCTCGAACACCCACCACACTGCCTATTTTTGTGCCGCGTGACTATCTGTAATATTAGTGGCATTTGTGGGAACGTTCAGCATGAATGTGTGCTTTGCCCCATAACTCGACATAGTTTCCTACTTGATACTTCGGACGAGTTATAATTTTACACTTTCAATACTTAGCCAATTGTGATTTTGTTCCCGTGATGTTTTTACTTCATCGCAGTCAATCACACTTAAACCTATCACCGAAACGCAGTGGACTTGTATGCCTTCTCTGACTGTATTGTGATAGTAAATTTCCATGTAGTGAAACAGGAAGGAAATAAAACAATCAAGTGAGGCGGAATAAAAGCCTGACAAGAAAATCGTCGGATAGATAAGATATCGAGTGCCAGCGTGCCGCCGCATTTCTTCTGTTAAGATTCTTGACCATTGGTGACTTACTCAGTTTTCTTCATCCAGGTAGACTACATGCGCCAACCAGCTCCCTTTCTTCAACTGATTTTTAAATGTCCTGTCTTCACATCTGCTGTGGTACTTTAATTTCTAGATGACTTATGGCTGATCACCGCTAAAATTCAGCGCAGGAGTCGGTCCCTGCCAATCTCTGAGAAGGACTACATTTCAAGAGTGCAAAGCATAACCAGAGACGACTGACAGCCAGTGCTAATCTGTCCAGCGCTGTTTGGCACGTTGGTGAGCTGTCACAAATGAGCGAAGTGTCATTGGTCTACTCAATAGTTGGTCACCTTGGGGCAGCTCCACACCTTCTAAGTCTTACCCGGCGAACGCCGTTTCCCTGATTTCGTCAATAACGACGTTAAAGAGGAAATGTGACAGTGGACAACCTTGTCTCAGATGGCTGGAGCTACTGAAGGGCGGCGAAAGTGCCGTAAAACCTCACACTGCCCGAATTATGCGCGTACAGCGCTCTTAGGAGATTTACATATTTCTCAGGCACATTTTTCTTCAGTAGACAGTTTCAAAGGGCACATCGATCAACCGAATCAAAGGCCTCTTTGGTATCTAGGACACGACTACGATGGGTTACCAGTAGACATGGCGGCGCTTCAACATGACTCATTCTGAAGATGTAGTCAATGCAGTCTCGATTTTGACAAAACCCGGCTTGCTGCTCTCTTACCTGGCTTTCACGCCTGCCAGATGGCAGTTGAGATCAGACTGATTCCTCAGTGACTGCCGCATTCAGAATGGGAGCCTCTCTTGAAAATTGGGACTATAACAGGGCTGCTCCAGTCTGTTGGGATAGACTCCTGCTCCCACAGATTCACTAGTAAGTTATGTACATCATCCGAATGAACTGGTTCTCCGAATTTGAACAGAGCTGGAGAAAATCCATATACTCTGGCGGTGTTCAATTTCAACAGTTTGATCTCACGTTCGACTTGTGGGCAAGAAGGCAGATCCAAAGGGACAGTCCAGGGGTTGGGCGATAATTGGCCAGTGAAGAAGCTGACAACTCTGACTGATTGTACTTCTCAACCGTCGCAACGAGACTGGACCTTAACGTAGTGCGACGGTTTGCGTACCTCATTGACTCATTGAGCTATACTGAGTGATGCCTCCGGGCACCTTGAGAGCTACTCCTACCAGGTTGGTCAGTGGTGAGATGTCAGACAAACTCAGTCTCCTGGTACTCCAGGTTGGGGGTTTGAAATGTGATGGCGTCCATTTCTGTAAAACTAAATCATTGCCACCTCGCCGCTGCTTTGCGGACAGGCTTTTGAGCCAAAGGCTTGGATGAGGACCCTAATCGTCCTCCTGTCTAGGTCTGGGCGCCCTGGCAGTATCTCAACCCACATACAACCATGACATTTTCTTCAAACATGAACTTCATCCTGCATCGGCCGTCGCGCAGATTATCAAGGGTCGCCTTATCCGCTGCATAAAGCAGAGCGGATAAGCGAAAACATGCTACTGCTGGCGCCTCCCTTCTTTCTTTTCCACCTGTTTCTCTTCCTCCAATCCCGACCCCCATTACTAACCTACCTTCTATAATTCCCAGCTTAATTGATAGCAACCGAAGTGCCACTGGAGTAAAACCATCTGCAGCCACCATCCCACATCACCTGTCGGACGCCTGTCGGTAACGGTCTCTTATAAGGCCATGCTGTCCCGTTTCCATGGCGACATTCAACGTTCACACTAACATAAACAGGTCGACAGGCTGCACTCGCACGCACCTTGGACACACTGGGTATTGATGTGTGTTGTGTGTCCGAAACTAGGGTCAATGACCCTAACGGGGTTATTGAATTAACTGCACCTGGCTTATCCTCTCGTTATTGGTTGCACGCATCCGGAGGCGTCGATGCAGCACTCATGGGTCAAGCTGGTGTTGGTATCATTCTAAGCTCCAAGGCTGAGCCACCGTTGGTTGATTGGATTCCGGTGAACAGTCGTTTATGTGCAGCCCGTTTGACGACATCAGCTAAGGTGGAGTCACGAAGTAATACAAAACGTTGTTTGTTTGTGATTTCGGCTAATGCTCACAGCGACTGCAGTTCTAATGCTGTCAAGGACACATTCTATCACGAACTGAACGCGCTACTACGCAGTGCAACTAGTTCAGATATTATAGTACTTGCAGGGGATGTGAACACTCAAGTAGGGCGTCTGAGTTCTTTAGAAGCTCAGCTGGGTGGTAATTATGAGCTTGACTCCAAACGGACTGACAACGGTGAGCGTCTGCTGCAACTGTGTGCGGAGCACCAGTTGTTTCTTATTAGCACTGCTTTTAGACACAGTGCGCGCCGAAGTGCCACTTAGTGTCCTCCTGTAGCTGGCTAGTGTTGGACCCAAATTGACCACATGGCTACAAGTTACTGATGGCTTGGTTCCATCCTGGATTGCCGCTCGTACTGGATTACCTGTGTCGACTCTGATCATGCCTTGGTACGCTGTCGTTTCTCCATGAACCTTACTGGGAGGCGCACCAAACGTCTCCTCCAATTGGCATCGGAGAAATTGTCTCAGCTCTCGGTCAGGCAAGTCTATCAAGACGCACTGCGTACCGAACTTTCGCTGCCTTGTCCTAATGACACTGAGCTTCATTGGAATAGGATCTCGGCCGTCATACACGACGCAGGAGCATCTGCTTGTGGCACTATCCATCGTCACCGCACCAATCACTGGATATCTGAGAGGTCGGTGAACCTGTTGGAATCTGGAGGACACATCCCGGATTGCTCTGAGCACAATGTGACCACACGGGCTATTAGGCGTGAACTAAAGCGGAGCCTACGTGCTAACAAGGAAGCCTGGTGGACCAGTCAGGCTTAAGAGATGGAGGAGGCAGGAGCAGTAATCAATTATCGCAAGCTCTTCCGGCTAATCTGCACCACTGGTCCCAGAAAACCAGGCATCAATGGGAAAATCAGACAGCGCAGGTGCGCTGATGCACAATAAGCAGCGCTGTTTGGCTCGTTGAGCGGAACACTTTCAATATCAGTTCAGCTGGCCCCATGTTCCCGGACCTCTTCCTACTCAGATGATGCAGGACGAGCCATGGACGGTTAGTTTAGAGCCTCCGTCGGAGGCCGAGGTCCGAAACGCGATCACAGCCCTCAATCGTTTTCGTGCCGCTTGCCCGGATTCCCTCCTACCTGCACTATTTAAGGATGGAGGTGCGGTCCTCTGCAAAGCACAGACCCTTATTCGAACGTATCTGGAAGGAAGAGTGTCCCGGCTAATTGGAACGAATCGATTATAGTGGCAATATACAAGAAGGGCAGTCGCACAGGCTGTTCTAACCACAGGGGTATTAG